CTAAGGCTGGATATCAAAACCGCGAAAAAAACGCCGACCGGAGGGCGGGAGGGTGCAGGGAGCCTCCGGGACTACCCAGAAAATAGAGTTTCATTACATTCAACGCTGGTTTTCTGGGGGGAGCCCCTATGGCTCCCCGGAGCTACTTCACCAAAGACTACCTAAGAAAACAAGGGGACATACCCGAGAGGCGGTCGGTGAACCACTCCTCAACACGAAGTCGAGACAACAACCCAAAGACCCCCTCCGGAAAGCAGTAGGCACATCATTCGCCAGAAAAAGGGAGAACGGCTGCAGACGAAGAAACCTATGACCACGACCATAGGAGTCTAAAACCATTGCACCTGAGAAGAGCATGAAGCTCTGCCACACGACCCCCAGAGGCCAATGCCAACATAAAAAGAGAGCCGAAGCAAAGCAAACCTGAACCAAAGGAGCCACAACAACCAAGGAGAAGAAAAACAGGAGAGCACCATGTCCAAAGACCAGGACGGCACAGGCAGTGCATGAGCAGGCCGGAGGTGAAACAACACACGAGACAGCCTGCGAAACAGCGCAGAAGGAACACCGATACCGAAAGCTAGCAGCAGAATCCAAAGTGCCAGACCCAGGAACGGCCCCAAGCACCTCTACATCCTCCGCAAGCCAATCCTATGACAGCCCCAGGAGGGAAAAGAAACGCAGGACCAAAACCAAAATGCCACAAGTGTGCAAGTCCACCGCCCCAAGTGCAGCCGACAGGGAAGGAACCCGTATAAGGAGCCGCCTTGCACCAACATCCCGCAGAAGGGCAGGAGCGAAAAGACTCATTAAGAGAAGCAAAATCGCCCCCAGGAAAATGAGTAGCGCCGAGACAGAGCTAAGAGAAGAGATATGAACAAAAGAACAAGAAGGCCAAACACCCAGAAGCTGCCTGGAATAGGACCCACAAGCCCTAGAAAGGACTGGAGGGAAGCTCAACCGAATGACGACAGACATACCAGAAAACGGGAAGGAGCAAAACCGTCCCGAACCTTCAAGAACAAAAAGAAGCAAACACAAAGGACGAAGGCACAAAACCCCGTCGCACCCGAGACCAAAAGTCATGCAGAACCCCAAGAAGAGGGGGACATGACAGAGAAGGCCCGTCCCGGAAAAAAGGGGTGAATACCGTAGAAAAGCACCCACCGACAGGGCGGAAGCAACGGGCATAATGGACAAGGAAACCGAGCCCAGGGAGGGGCCGATGCCCAAAAAGCATGTGTGGAGAGGGGGAACGAAAAAACCCCATTACACAAAATCGCTAGCCCCGCCCAGAGGGGTAGAAATACCCCAGTGAGGACCAACAGGGCCTGAGGCCCCTCACGTTAGCCCCACCCCAGCCCCGAGAACTCACCATGCAGGCCCCGGGGCCGAGCTGTCCCCCCAAAGCCCCAGCATCAAGAAAAACCCCGGGGCAGCCGTGAAAAACACTAAGGAAGGGAGCCCACTGGGCTCTGGAACTTGAACTGAAACCAGAGGATAGGCGAGGGGCGAGACGAAGACCCCAAGCTCAACCCCAGCCAGCACAACGAGGTGAGGACAACGAGGACAGGACAGAGAATCCAAAGAACATGGAAAAACCAGGCTCGGCACAGAAGGGCCAAACAAAATGCCACAACCAACCCCTACACGCAGCCGCAGTACCAAAACCGCAGCAAAACGTCACCACACTCCCCGAGAAAGCGACAGAGAAGATATAGATAAATCATAACACGAGTGGCACACAAGGGGACACAGGCAGAAACCGAGTACCCAACCGAGCCACAGGGACTGTAGAAGAAACGCGTGCAGTGTAACAGGCAATCAAAGGAACACATTAGGCAGCCCAACTTGGGCTGACCCCATACACAGCCCCAAGAGCAGAGACGAGAGCGCCCATGAAGCACAGAATCCGCTAATCAGGCGAACAATAGGGGAGAGGCGGAACCAAAGAGCCAGAACCCAATCCTGCAAGCACAAGGAAGCAAGCACAAAACACCCTCGACACAGGAAAACGTACCACCAAACAGGCACCTCCACCGTTGCACCGTGGAACAAGGTGGAGGCGGGGCTCCGAACTCAAGCAAGGTTAGACAAGCATAGGAGAGGGGCAGGAGGAGTACAGGCAGCAGCCGCCTCGGAAGGGCCAAGAGGCCACCCGCAGTCACCCGTGAACCGAGGAAGGAATCAGGGGGTGAGAACAGGAGCTGCCCTGTATGGGCTAATAGCCCTGCAGTAGGCACCTCGGTTGGTACGGTCCACGTTCTCAAGTACGTATGTACACCCATTCCTACTTCCAAAAACAAAAACAGCGTCAGGACAAAGGAGACGCCAGACCGCACCAACGCACCTGCAGAACATAAGCGCTGAAGGGCCATGACGCAAGCCTATGAGAACGTAGCCGCCGGAGGCGGCCAGGGCGCCCATGCTGGAGAGGAGGAGGGGAGCGGCGAAGGAGGCTCCCCACCCTAGAATGCAGAGAAAACCCTAGTGACTTCCCCACAGCGGCACTCCAAAACACCCCCAAAGCAACGGGGCACGGATTGAATTAAGAAAAGAGCAAGAGGCGAAGCCTCCCCGAGAGAAAATGGATGCAGAACACCAACACGTGTGCACACCGCCCGGAACGAAAACAAACCTCCCACGGCGCATGCGCAAGAAACGAAAGAAAAGTAGCCCAACAAGGCGAGAAGTAGCCCAACAAGGCAAGAAATAGCCAAACAAGGCGAGAAGTAGCCCAACAAGGCGAGAAGTAGCCTCACTGGCAACAAGGAGCCCAACCGGCGACAAGGAGCCCAAACTGCTACAAGGAGCCCAAACTGCTACAAGGAGCCCAAACGGCTACAAAGGAGCCCAAACGGCTACAAAGGAGCCCAAATGACTACAAGGAGCCCAAACGGCTACAAGGAGCCCAACCTGTCCAGAACAGAAGGAACCAGTATGGAGGCAAACTCCGGGGCACGCAGGAGGAAGCCGCAAAGGTCAACCGCACTGCAGGCGAAGAGATGTTGGTAGCCGAAAACCTCCGGAAGACGGAACCGAAGAAACCACAGGGACACGGAACCGAACCCGGGGAGGAGCAGAACCCAAGCCCAAATCGTACGCCGAAGGGGGGGAAAAGAAAACCCCACTCCTCGCAACAGTAAGCCCCGCTCAGAAGGACGGAAAACCATGTGGGGCACAATGGGGCCCAAGGCCCCCAAGGTCGCTCCTCCCCAACCCCAGGACTACACCCAGGTAGAGCAGCACTACACCACGCCCCCCGGCCGAGCCGACCTCCAAAGCGCCGGCCCCACAAGAAAAAGCCGGGGCAGCCGAGAGAGCTCGAAGAGAAGGGGCCCACTGGTCAGACCCCGGAGCATCGGCAGGAGGAACAGACTTGAATGCCTCCGCAGCTACCCCGGACGGGGCAACCCCCGAAACTGCCCAAGTCTAAGAACCTCTAACCCCGCCCCGACCCCGAAGCCTGCAGATGCGTAGGGGCCGGAAGCAGGAGGGGGAAAAACAAGGGGGGCATGGAAGGAACCAAGGCCGAAGCGACCAAAACCCCCAAGTCTGGGTCCCTACACAAAGCGGGGCAGCATCAGGGCGTCCGGGGAAGCAACAAACCCAAGCGCATCGCAACAACTTACCCTGCAATGTGCAAGCTGCCTGCACCCATGGGAATTCATCAGCAGACTGGGTGAATGGAGTCACGAAAAAGCAACAAAGCTCGCAGGACTCTGGGTCGAATGTGTCACTGACCCAACAGGCAACATGACGGAGGCAAAAACAAGGAGAGTCACCCTGAGACAAAGGGACAGAGCAGCCTTCAACTCGCACAAAGCGAGAGGGGACGCAAGGGTCTCCACTATCGGACCCGAGAGCCCGTGGGGTTTCCCAGGGCCCTAGACTGGGTCTGCTAAGGGTTATCCCAGGCAGGGCACTGCTACCCGGCGCCCCAAACTACCAAGCAAACTGCTAAAGCTGAACCCACAGGACGTGTCCATCCGTGAGGGCAAAGCAGGGGGTGCCACCACACAAACGACCCTAATACAACGGGGGGGAACACAAGGCAGACCACCCTAACTGGCAAAAACAAATATAAAAGAAAAACCACACAAGTGGACAACGTACCCAGAGGAAACACAGCCGGCCGCTGTCATAGGTGAAAACTAGCTATGCAGTACCCTGCACCCCACCAGTGCTATAACTACCACTTACCCCAAGGCAAACAAGGGAGGAAAACCCCCAAACACTCGGGGCGGCCAAGCGCCAAGCAGCAAAAAGTCAACAGAGGTAGACCCAAGGTGACTTGTGGAAAGCGACCCCAAGCCCCAAGGGCGGTACTTACAGGGCACTCAGGGAAGGTGACCCTAAGTACATGCCGCCCGAGTACCTGAGAATACTACTCCCAACTCACATGACCACCGTAAGAGCAGCACCGCAAACAAGTCACAGCACTGAGACAAGACCGGAGCTGGAGCCACACGACCATGCACTATCCCATCAGCCGAGGAACTGGGGCGTGGATCGCCGGCGCGGGTGTCTAGGGCTTCCCCTTCCCCCTCCTGGGGAGGGGGGAGCTGTGCAGACATGCAGCTCGTGTGACGTCATGCTTGTTAGTTCATTTTTCTGGGGGAGTTCTGTCCACTCGTTTGTCGATTTTTGTTGTTAACCAGAATAGGGGTTTGTTTTGTGGCACTTACCTTTCTGGGTGCCTGTCCCGGTTGATGGCAGATATAGAATGCTCCAAATTACATGTGCAATTCTATGGGCCATTGCTCCTCGTGCCTCTCTGAGGGGGCCAAGTTCTGGCTCGTGGTCCCCGGTAGGCCTAGAACTCCACCCACATCGACTGATGCAAAATAGTTAGGGTATCCATATCAGCCATGGATAGCTCCAGGGAGCCGTAGCGGCTCCCCCCCCCCCCCCCAGAAAAAATGATAACTAAATTTAGGAATAACTTTCTAAAGTGGTGAAATACACTTTGTTGCTCTATTAAGAGCAATAATACATACCTGAAGCATCTCTCATTACACCTGCTCCAATTATAATTGGATAAATGAGGTAAGTGCACATGGTGGTGAAGATGGCACCCAGTGTGCCTTTGGGAATAGCACTTGCTGGATCCTGGAAATACAAGTAATCTTTATTAGCATTTATTATATGAATTTAAAATGTAATAATATAATTAGATGCAGCTAAATCACATAAGGTCAATCAAAGAAGGCATCATTAAACTGATGTATCTAACAATAGAGTGTGGTTTAATAAGCAGAGAGGGGTACAACTACTGTAGTGAGTAGAGTGGATGCATTATTGTAAGTCTAATATATGTTTAGTGCGAGCACTGACATCTGTGTGAGGATTTTTACTAAATAATTGTTCACTATATCATACAGGATATGTAGGTTAGGTATAGAGAAGATGAAAGTGAGTGTTATCAGCAAATAGTAAAGGGTTAAGAAATTTTGAAACATGTGTCATGTTATTTATATATATATTGTAAAATATTTAAGATCCTAGTAAGGTGCCTTGTAGTACCTCTATGGTTAATGGGAGATGGAAGACGTTATGTCACTGGTGACTATGTATTGGTGTCTGTTCTCGAGATGTGATCACATACGCTGCTCAGGGAAAGGTTTCAAAATATGTGGTGCTTAAATTTAAGTAGCAGGTTATTACAATTTACAGTATTAACACTTTGCATAGCCTGGCATGCGAGCCCCAGCCTACCCCAAGGTTGGCCAGGCGTTTCCTGTGAGCAAGCACAGGAATGTGTATAAACTAAAAAATGTGTATACTCTTTTCAGCTTTCTCCCCTCAATTTTCTTGCTACATCGTTCCTTTTGGTATCAAATTGTTTGCAATAGAATTCTCTAAAGAGATAGAGTGGAATCTCGAGTGACGATGGCTCCAGTTATGAGCATTTTGTGTAACGAGCAAGCCTCTTACAGAAAGTTTGTCTCGACTGACGAGCTTTCGCTCGCTTAACAAGCGTTCCCGCTGGTTCTCAGACACCTCCGACGACAGTTTTGTTGTTGTTTCGAAAGACGAGTTTTTCAAATGACGAGCTCAGTGCCAGAATGGATTAAATTCGTTAATCGAGGCATCACTGTATATGCATATAAGGTAACAAAAAAACCAGGCCCGCTACCTGTAGCAAACCAGAAAATCCACTGAGCATTCCTGTGAGCAAGCACCCATCCGCACACCCACAATACCCTGCACTAAAATGTGAATATTCTTTTCAGTTTTCTCACCTCGATTTTCATGCTACATCATTCATTTTGTAATCAAATTATTCACAATCAAATTGTTCGCAATCCTCTTAAGGGATATTTTCAAATAAAGTCAAATGGCCCAGCGCACCACCTGCAGCACACCCCAAGTTAGGTCTAGTTTTACCCGTGTGCATGAACCCACCACCCACACTCAAATATTTATACTCTTTCCAGTTTTGTCAACTTAATTTTTGTGTTACTTCGTTCATTTTGGTATCAAATTGTTTGCAATCTAAAGGAGAACAATTAATTGTATAAAATAAGTTGCATCCAAAATTTTTATCTTGGAAGCAACATATGGCCCTGCCCGACATCCATAGAGATATTTATGGACGCAATATGTGTCCCCGACCAACGAAAGGGTTAAAGGCTTTACTTAGGTCAGTGAAGAGGCCCCATTAGTAATATATTTTTGTCATGTATTGAGTAGATTGTTAAGTAAATTAATAATGTCAAAATTTATATTTTCTTTTTAAAATCTGAAGCCAAACTGGATATAGTATGCTGAATTTTACAAGATGCAATACAACTCCAATTCAGGGAACCATTTGGGACCAACCCCAGTTTGTTGTGGTGATGGATTTGTTGCATAGGTGATGCCTTCAGGAGGCATTTATGTAATGCATTCTTTTAGTAATATAAATCAAGAATATCTCATTGTTATATACAATACTACTAAACTGTACAATAATAAATTATACTCTATCTTTATTAACCTTAGAAAAGGCATACTGTATATAGTATACTGTATACAGAATTTTGCTTGAATCCTCCCTAGGTGCCATTTGTAATTGTAAACACCTTGTGTGTGATGGTTACAAAGGATGTCAGGAACTGTAATAAAAATTGCAATCCCCAACACACTGGATGCCAACCTGAGGGAGGGAGGAAAGGCATTGCCCGAAAGGCATTTTTGCCCGAAACGCTATGCGTGCTAGTGGCTTTACAGGAATGTAAAATCAAATCCATTTGTATGTTCTCTGTTAATCCCCAATGTACAGTACTTTCTTGTATATAAATAAATAAATAAATAAATAAATAAATAAATAAATAAATAAAAAAATAAATAAATAAATAAATTGTGGGAGGGAGGGGAGGCATTGAGGGAGAGAGGCAGGGAATGATAGAAACAGTGAGGTAGGGAAGGGAGACAGTGAGGAAGGGAGGGAAGGCGCTGAGGGAGGGAGGGAGCTTGGCAGTGAGGGAGGAAGGGAGAGTGACAGTAAGAGAGAGAGATGGGCAGACGTTGAAGATGGGCAGAAAACACCAGAAAAGCAAAGAAACCCCTGAAAGAGGTGAAAAACTCACCCAAGGCGCTAGCTCGCACACCCAGGCACATGTAAACAAACCGCAACGCCACCCTGGTGGCCACGCCAGGAAACTGACAGAAGAAAATGGCCACCAGAAACAGGTAACCGTGACCGACGCAATAGATTCAAAAACACGCCTGCAAATGTGGAAAGTAAGCAGACGAGAGGGACGAAAAAACCCACCCAGAAGCAGAAAACCCAGGCAGGCGCAAACAGCCCCAGAACTGCAAGGGGGCATCCCCCACAGCCCCGGGAACTGGCCACAGAAAGCTCCGGGGCAAAGCCATTCTCCACACCCTCTGCCCTTAAAGAAAAGGAAGAGTCCAGAGGAAAGGCAGCAAAGAAAGGGCCACTGGTAAGACCCAGAAGCCTCGGCAGGAAGACCAGGCTCCAAAAGCTCCATTCCCAATCCAAAAGGGGCAGCCCCCAAAATCGCCTGAGTCTCGGCACCAACTAAACACCGCCCTGATGCTCAAAATCGCAGTCAGGAGCCAGGAATAAAGAGGAGAAAGAGCCGATCAGCACCTAACCAAAACGGGGTGGCCCCGGAGCATCCAGGTGGGAAACCAACTTAATACATTGCAGCAACCTAAACCAAGCTTGCAACGCGGATGCCGTCTGTACTCTGAACTGTAAGTACATCAGAGGAGTACTGGAGAACAAGCAGAGAACATCTCGCAAGACATCTGATGGAGGTAAAAGAGGTGACTGTCACCCTGAGACAAGGGTGTTGCTTGTTGACAAGCAACCAATGAACCCACACAAGACGGGTTGGAACCCGGAAGACACATCCAGTTGTCCACCGAGCCCCAACAGGGTTTACCAGGGTCCGTAGGCTGACTGCTATGGGAAGCCCCAGCAAGGTGTTGCTAACCGGTTAACACCCAAAACTAACAAGGGGTAGATGCCAACACTGTAAACCCCTGCGACGTGTACAATCACAGGGCCTAGCAGAGGACCACCAAAACACTACCAAAGGAACTATAGCCACACTAGGCAGATCTCCACCAGGCAAATGAAAAAAAAACAAAAGAAAATCCCCTGCAAAAGTACACCGTCCCCAGAGGCAACAGGAACCGGTCGCCACATAGGTAGCAGGTCGTGCAACACCTTGACGCCCTAACCAGCACAATAACAGTCCCTACCCAAGGCCAAACAAGGGCCCAAAGCCCCAGCTAGCCCCAAGGGTGAGGCAAATGCCAAGCAGCAAGAACCTCTACGGGAATGGTTCCTAAACACTCCAGGGAAGATAACACTGTCACGCATGCGCAGCACTCACACAGCGCTTAGGGAAGGAAGCCCCTAAGCGCATGCAGCCCCGGTACTGATGAGGAACACCTGGCCAACGCACAATACAACACATGGCAGTGAGCGCCACGAAGGTAAACACCGCCTAGGAAACTGAGGCCAGAGAAGCGCCTGTCCCAGTTGACATTAGCTTACAAACTGGAATGCTATGCAGCCGGTGCAGTGAGGTCCAGCTCCCCCCCCCCTCTCGTGGAGGGGAGGGCTGCACGGACGAGTGGCGTAGCAGTAGTGTGTTACGTTTGCTTGTTTGCTTGTTTCCTTGAGATTCTAGGGAGTTCTACCTCTCTGTTCGGTTTTTGCTGTTAGTTTCTTACCATGTGGGATTTGTTTTGTTATGCCTACCTTTCTGGGTGCCTAACCCCGGTCGATGGCAGATAAGGAAAAACCCCAACTACAGGGGAAGGGGGTTTCCAGGGCCATTGCTCCCTGAAACCTCTCTGAAGGGGGCCAGGTTCTGGCTCATGGTCCCTGGTAGGTTTGAACTCCATAGCTAATATCCCAGTCTAATATAACATACATTAGCCCGATAAGCTCCAGGGAGCCGTAGGGGCTACCCTCAGAAAATATCCTTTTTCTTATTTTGTGGGCTACTTATGGGCAATCTAAAACAGTTTCAGATAAGGCAGTGAGATTGAGCAGTGGGTAGGTGTCATGGTCTATTCAAAAAATGTTGCTGGTAGAGTGGTGGTGAGGGAAAGTGGGTGAGAGAAGTGGAGTCTTCTCTTCTCCTTGATGCCACATTAGTTTTTCTTGTTGACATGACCAGCATAGATTCCTAACATAGGAATGATTTTACTTAAGGTGTGATAAGTGATTATTTACTCCTGTGATATCCCAGGATCTATCGATAAAGTTTAAGAATAGCCATGCATCATTGCACCATATCACCAACTATAGATGCAAGTATCAGTGAAGTCTTCAACAGGCAAGAAATTCGAGGGAAAAGTCTCATTAATATGCAGAATAATCTAAATTTTATAAAAGCATGCACAAACAAGTATATAATTCACTAGCCCCACTGGACTTCTTTGAATCTGACTTAAAACAAACTTAAAACATCATACAAGTTAAGTATTACAAACCTTAAGATCTCCAGAGAGATTTGCTCCAGCAACAATGCCTGTGACAGCTGGGAAGAACACTCCAAATACACTGAAGAAGCCTTGATCTCTGCCTTCAGACTTCCGGTAATCAGGAGCAGCATTTAGGGTGAGAACATGACCTGAAAGGTTACGTTTTATAAGGCAAATTCGAGAAGGCATCATTCAGTTCAATTCAGCATGCATATTTCATTGGCTTTTAAGTATTAGCCTAAAATAAGTTACTATATGTATACCTAGAGTTTCATATAATCTAACTTCATCACTGTAACCACCTTCACTACATATGACAACCCTCATCATTGTAACCGATTGTAATACATATCCATTCTCATTACTGTCACCATCTTCACTAAATACTGTACTGTCTTCATCTCGGTAACTATCCTCACTACCATTGGGTCCCCCTATCTACAAACTTCTTTCTCTTTCACATAAGAACATAAGACACCCTATTCCCACTCATATACATGTCCACCCCATGCTTGAAACAATCAAGGGACCCCCCACCTCCACCACGTTACGCAGTAATTGGTTCCACAAATCAACAACCCAATTACCAAACCAGTATCTCTCCAGGTCTTTCCTAAATCTAAACTTATCCAACTTATACCCATTGTTTAGTGTTCTGCCTTGTGTTGATGCTTTTAATACCTGAATAATATCCCCTTTGTTATGTCCATTCATCCACCTGTAAACTTCTATCATGTCATCCCTAATTTTTTGCATTTCTAGAGAATGCAATTTATGTTTTGTCAATCTTTCTTTATATGATAGGTTTCTAATTTGGGGGATTAACGTTGTCATCCTACAATGGATGCATTCTAGTGAATTTACATTCATTCTATAGTACAGCAACCAAAACTGAAATGCATAATCTAAATGGGGCCTAACCAGAGCAAGATATAGCTGAAGAACACCAGTCTTATTACTAATGCTTCGATTAATAAATCCCAGTGTCCTATTTGCCTTATTACAAACATTTATGCATTGATTTTTAGGTTTTAAATTCTTACTAATCATAACTCCCAGATCCCTATCGCAATCCGACTTCACAATTTCAACATCATCTAGCTCGTATCTTGTAACTGTATTATCATTACCGAGCGTCAAAACCTTACATTTGTCAACATTAAACCGCATCTGCCAATCTTTTGACATTTCAAAACCCTATTTAGATCGTCTTGAAGAGATAGCGAGTCTTTTTACGTGTTTATTTCCATCCCGATTTTTGTATCATTGGGAAATTTGCAAATATTGCTGCTCAAACCTGAATCTAAATCATTTATATATATTATGAATAACAGAGCTACAAGAACAGAGCCTTGAGGCCTTTTCCTTACAACATTTACTCACTCTGACTTAACCCCATTCATACTAACTCTGTTTTCTTTGGTATAGCCATGCCCTAATCCAACTTAATATATCATCCCCCAATACGACAAGCCTCTATCTTTTTAATCAGTCTTTCATGTGGCACTGTATCAAAAGCTTTGCTAAAGTCAAGGTACATAACATCACAAACCTTACCACTATCAACTGCCTCAACTATGCTGGAATAAAATGATAGTGAATTTGTTAACCCCCTAAACTGCGCAAAACGTCATATGAAGTGTGACATTGAGCTCCATTTTTTAAATTTTCTGAAAGTCTTTCAAATGTTTTGTGCATAATCTACTAGGCAAATGCTCCAACTTTGTCTAAATGATACCAGCATAACTTGAAAAACAAGAAAATGAAAAATAATTATAAAATTGAATATTGAAAACTTCAGATTTTGAAATCAGCTGCAAAAATATAAAATATCACCAATTGTTCATTTTGTGTTATTATGCTCTCAGAATTGCATATGATCTTTATTTTCACATATTTAGACTATAGGTCTTCAGTATAGTTTACTGTAAAAATAATTGTCAACATGGGATTTGAAATCTGCACAAATTTAGACAACAAAAATTTATAACTCCAAACGTTTAGAGTTTATGAAAAATCAATTCTATAGAGATCGTAGAACAAACAGCTGTGCAAGGGGTCAATGCAACACTGTCTAACTTCAGAATTGTTTTTAAATACATGGAAGGAGAAATACTAAAGAAATTGTTCATGACTTTTGTTAGACCAAAGCTGGAATATGCAGCGGTTGTATGGTGCCCATATGTATAGAATCACATCAACAAACTGGAAAAGTTGCAAAGACATGCTAGTAAATGGCCCCCAGAACTGAAGGACAAGAACTACAAGGAGAGGTTAGAGGCATTAAATATGCCAAAACTATAAGACAGAAGAAAAAGAGATGATATGATCACTATGTAATGGTCAGTTGCACAGACCTAGCTGCCCTAGGTGCACCATTATGTCACATTCATCGACTAAATGCATGTTGATGTTGTAGTCCATCACACAATCCGGCTTATATATTATTAGTTTTGTTGTTCTGCTCACCTTGCCACTGTCCATCATTTTACCAGGGTGAATGGTGGTCAACATGTTCACTTCACGTCTGTCTTTCCACCGGACCGAAAGAATTGCACCACTTTTTCTTACCTCACAATCGCCTACTTGCCTAGCAGTATCAAACACAGGCATTTCCTTTCGTTTCAGCATTACTGTGCCACACACTCTAGTTCTATTATCAAGCAAGAACCTGGGTTAGTAAGGGACTGGTATAATAGTTATCTGTGTACAATATGTGGCCCTTATTCAGCTATGGCACAAGCAGTGCCTTCACCACACTACCTGAGAAGCCATGTTGGACATTAGCAAGAATGTCTACATTTGTAGCCGAATACAGTATCATGTGTAACACCATTCCTGATTCATAGTCAAAGAGCACAAAGAATTTCAATCCAAATCGGTGTCGTTTTGAGGGAATATACTGCTTGAAGGCAGCACGTCCTTTGAAAAGCACAAGGGATTCATCAATAACCAGCTTCTGAGCTGGTACTGGTTGATACCTGGTTGATGGGGTTCTGGGAGTTCTTCTACTCCCCAAGCCTGGCCCAAGGCCAGACTTGACTTGTGAGAGTTTGGTCCACCAGGCTGTTGCTTGGAGCGGCCCGCAGGCCCACATACCCACCACAGCCCAGTTGGTCCGGCACTCCTTGAAGGAAACAATCTAGTTTCCTCTTGAAGATGTCCACGGTTGTTCCTGTAATATTTCTGATGCTCGCTGGTAGGACGTTGAACAACCGTGGACCTCTGATGTTCATACAGTGTTCTCTGATTGTGCCCATGGCACCTCTGCTCTTCACTCGTTCTATTCTGCATTTTCTTCCATGTCGTTCACTCCAGTACGTTGTTATTTTACTGTGCAGATTTGGGACCTGTCCCTCCAGTATTTTCCATGTGTATATTGCTTGGTATCTCTCTCGTCCGGTACATAATAATCTCTGAACTTTCCAATCAGGTCATTTAACACGTGCCTCACCCTCACCACACGTGCATTATTTGCAAAATGAAGACACCATAGGAGTATCAGAAATCGGTCTCAGTGAAAATCATATTTAGTGAACAATGGTGTTGGAACAGTGTTGTCTTTGCTCCAATCATGGGATATTACGTGTTTCACGCAATGTTTCATCAACATACATATGATGAAAAACACATACAGTTCACCTACAGTCATCTCTTTCCAACGCTGTAATCGTGAAAATTATGGTACATCCTCACCTTCAATGAGATCAGCCGCAAGTCTGTTCGTTTTGTGAACAGTATGTTCCATGAGCGGCTCATCGAAATATGCAGTGAAGAAGTCCATTTCACTCATTTCATTACCTATATCAGGGAAAAGATCTGTAATTCCCACAACTGTATTGTCAAAGGTGGGAATTTGTGGAACAAAATCTTCCCCATCACTCCACACAAACAAACCTGCTGTCTTCCGATAGCCAACAGCTGCACCACGGCGAGGAATTCATGGACCAGGAGCTGAAGCAGGTCTAGCAACAGTAGGGGCAGGAAGACGATGAGGGAAAAGTATTGGAAGATGAGGAGATTTGTTCCTCATTGTCGCCATTTTGTTCCATGCGGCAGCACTTAGCTGGGCAGGCAGCTGATGTAACGAAACTTTGACTGGCAGTAGCAGGCGTAGCAAAACTATTCTCGAATTCTAAATCACTAAAACCAGAAAATGATTCACCTGCTTCAGACGCGTCAATCATATCATAATGTGGCAATGGAACACATGAACTATGTGCCTGGGCGCGAAGTGGGGTTGAGTGGTGTTGAGTAGTAGCGGGTGACTCTCGTGACATCCTCCCCCTGGTGGAACCAATATGTTCACTCTCACTATCCGTTGTTTCAATATCCTCAGGTTGTGCATAATTTATATACATATATATGACAATTTATATATGACAACTCATTTATATCTGAGTTGTCAATATTAGATTCATCAACGTTTTTGTACAATTCATTGGCAATTTCATCTTCGGTCAATGACTGCGCGGCACTGTGTGCTGAGCGAGGTTGGATGCTAGGTCGTGATGCGCTCGCCATGGTGTCTGGTCAGTAACTAAGGCCTGGGAGACAGAGGAGACCTGCACTCGATTTTTTTCAAGATGGCATCTGTTAACAATTGCCCCTGGCTACGATATGGGTGACCCCTTTACACCATGGGACATTTGAATCGTGCCTGGAACCCTATGGCGTATATATATGCCATGCACACAGTGGGACATGTTACTCATGGTGTATATACATATACGCCATGCGCAGTTTAAGGGTTAAACCTCGCATGTAACGCTAACGCTGCCTGCACCCAAATATCAGTTTCAGTGGATTGGGTGAGTTGGAGTACAGGCAAAGAACACCACTTGCAGGACTCCAGGTCATAGGTGTCACTGACCCCCAACAGGCAACAAGGCGGAGGCAGACGGTGAGTGTCACCCTGAGACAGGGAGACAGCAACCTTCAAACTCGCACAAGGTGAGGTGGAACTCAGAAGTCTCCTACAATGGACCACTTAGCCCCAATGGGGGTTTCCAGGGGGCCCTTAGGCTGACTGCTAAGAGAAGCCCAGGCGCGGTACTGTTAACCGGTTATCCCAGAGCTACCAAGCAAACAACTAAAAGCTGAACCCCTGCGCCATATGCAAGCACGGGGACTTAGAGGAGCGTCACCA